TTGGGCACACTTCTGTGAAGTCAAGTGTACCCTAAAGTAACATCAACAATGCCCTTTGTTGTTCCCACAATCCAAATAAGGCACTTGATACATTTGAGACACCTACCTACAACACACTACAAACAAAGCCCAAAACAACTTAGGGAGACGAACCTCTAAAACTAAACTTAAGGCTAAATTCTTTTGTTTTATATTTATCCAAAATTCTATATTTTTTTTAGAGGCTAACACTAAAGGAAACCGACTCCAATAAGCAAGGATCATCTAACTCCAAAAAGACATTAAAGGCCTTCTAACACAAAGCTACTACTAAAGCTTTAAAACCCCAACACTTATCTTTTAGAAACAAATGTGAATTAATGGAAAGATAATTCATACACTAATCATCATCTTGTTCTAAGAAAGACTACTAAGAGATTCTTCTACACTAAGCAAATCACCAAATTAGAAGTCTCAAAATACTCTATGAAAATTTCTGAGCAAAACCTTACACAAAATCCTACAAAAGTCATCTACTAAAATCTCTCCTTTTCGTTAGCCCCAAAATTCTACAAAAAGACCCACAATCAAGTGCCTTATCCCTCATTTGAAGTGGGGTAGAAACCACAAAGCTCTCCAATAAGAAAGTTGTATACAACCCCTCGTTGTAAAGCTTTCATAAAAAAAAAACGACGTATAAAAGCTTTTAAAACGAAATCGATTTAAAACCAATGCTAAGCCATCTCAACATAAGCAAAACAAAATCTTTTCCTACATAAAGCAAGTTCACAAAACCTCTCACATTAAACAAATTCACAAAATTTTTATGTAAAGCATGCAACCTCCTCAAAATCTTTTATAAAGAAAATAGTGAACACCTCAACACAAAGCCACTTATGATACCTCTGATGCATATGCTGTTTTGACCTTCATGTAGAGTTTAAGCAAGTAGAGAGAAAATAGAGAGAGAAATGCAGATTTAAGAAAGCATGGAAAACATCTCATCTCCTACCAACAATTCGAGAGAAGTATTTCATACCACATATAAGAGTGATAGTGCAGCTTCTCTTTTCTAATTTCCACATGAAACATTGCAAAGCATTTTATACTGTTGTTTAATCAGAAAGAAATTCAGGAGATTTTCCTACATTTCATCTTGCAAGCAGATTCTAACAACCAATCTCTATCTAGCTTAATTATTCGAACTCAAAGTTTATGCCAAACGAATTTAAGAAATGAAATAGAGACTTTTAGAACTTCGCATTCGTCCAATAGTTCAAATAACCCTCCAGCACAAGCAAAAATACTCAAGTAACGATTATATATGAAACTTATCAATGCTTAAGATTCAACCTCAAAAACAAAATGTGAAGGAACTACACATAAATAATGTCATCACATGAACTTGAGGGAAGAAAGAAAACTCAGTGCAGCTCAACTTTTCTTTTAGGAATTCAAATAAGAGATTAGAATAAAAAGGTTCTTTAATGCAAAAGATATGTCACTTATGATACTAATATTCGAGATAAAAAGTAATAGTTGAAGCACAGTATAGTGACAAGCATAATCTAACAAGATATTCAAACTAACCTATGATTGATTTCAGCATACAATCTACCACCATTTTCTGGAATTATTCTCCACTTGTTTAAAGAAATAACATCCCAATATCAAGAATAAAGGAAATAAAACATATTCCTTTACTCTCATAAGGAGTTCACTTCAAACACTTCCATAAAGAATTTCAATTCATAAGAAGCAGTTATTAATTTCAACAATAAGGAAATTCGACTCTCTTTTCTTTTTTTTTTTAGTCACGATAACATAGCACAAATTCTGATCACACTATACGAAAGCTTTAAGCACACTACTATTTAAGACATGTTTAACTGTTTAAGTACATGTGCATCTCATCCTATTTCCAACTTGAAAAAAGTGTAAGTGAAACAAGGCACAAGCTACAAATGTTTCAAGTAATAAAACTCAACACACTAGTGAAAATACGACTTTTGGAAAGAAAATTTTGATATCAATTTGTTTTATCTAAAGGTTGGAAAATGTATCTCAACAATATAGCATAAGTAACATCACATTGAATCTATAGAATGCATACCTATCCTCCATCAAATTCCACTTTAATGCTACAAAAATTTCAAATAAATCTCTAATCCAAATTCATGAATTTGCTCTCGTGTTAAGTATACGACATTTCGCCAAAGGACTCAAGATCAATTCTTATGCTATTGGTAAGGAAAAAGAAGAGAGATTATTCGATGCCAAACCACTTTCCCAAAATATTAGAAATAATGCTCTAATTGCCATGTGTATCTTTTTTTATATTTAAATCATCTCGTATTAAACCAGAAACATGCTTGAAATAGAAAAATATGGCCCCATAGAAATTTTCAAAACAACTACCAATACCACATTCTCATAAATTTCAAACTAGTAGAGAGATAACAAAATTCGAAGAAAAATAAAAGTGCCCAACCACCCATCATACTTCATGATCAAATACGTTTCAACACTCATTTACTTGCTTTGATCTAACTTTAAACCACATACAAGTGCAGTCCAAAGCTCTCTGCATGATGCCCATATCCCTTGCAGCTGCCATCTACCACACCCAGCACCAGCCGGAAAATCCTTCAGTGAAGAACGAACCTAACACGCCGCCGTCGTAGGGCGGCGAAAGTTAAGTTACCTAACCACTTAGCCACGCTTATTCCAGGATGATCCTCCTTTTCCCATTTCCTCTTCACAAATCTTCAAATCCTTCCCAAAGCTCAAAGAAAATTATTCAATATAAATCATGTGACCACTTATCGAATCGAATTGACTTTCCAAGTTGATCGCATGAGCATATGAAGCTTTTCCAATAAGTTTAACTTTCAAGTTATATGCTATTAAATATTTCATAAAATTTTTGTACACATGCAACTATGAGAATGAGAAAATCCATAACAGTTCATACACAAAGTCATCCTTTCAATGCCATGAAGTTCACAAGTTCTCAATGATGCTTTTGCTAAAAGTGATATCTCATGTCATGAGGATAAAGCTCAAATCTAGGTAAAGTAAGACATAGAATATCAAAATCCAACTCAAGAGGTGTGATAACAACAACAAGTATTCTTAAAACAAACTTACCATATGGCTCCCTCTTTTCAACCACCAAGAGAAAAATAAAGATACATCAACCTTTCAACCGTTAAACAAACCATTTATCATCTCCAAGGGTTTTCCCCTTTTCTTTTAAACAAACAAAAGCTCTATGCATAGAGCCACTATTCTCCATACCAATAAGATTTCTCCAAATAGAAAAGGAGACAAATACATCCACAAAAAGAAGAAAAGTAGCTCAATACAAGAGAAATGAATTTAGAGAAATCATCTCTTTTGAAGAAATGCTTCATGAAAAAAAAGGAAAATAAACAAAACTAAAACTCCATATCTCTCGTCAAATAAACAAATTCACATTTTTTTGAAGGAATTCTAGGAGATGGGCTAGGGAAAACTTTCACATAAACAAGACTATCACATAAAGCTTTGATATAAGTAATGTAATCAAGACTCTCTTTTGGAAACATTTCATCGAATAGCTAACATGCGATATTTACGATCACGCATAATCATAGAAGGGGAGAAAATCTTTTACACACTTGATTAAGCTTACTACAGCATCCACATAAAGCTCATTGAGATTTTAGAATGAAAAAGAAACAATTATAACCTTCCAAAACTTACTATAGCATTTCCGAAATGGATTACTCAAGTTCAGATGCATAGATTAAAACATACTAATTGATGTCAAGACATGGATCCTAAGCAAAGTATATAAACCTTCACTGCATGACTATAAATCATCTAAATGTGGACTGAAAGTTAAGAGGAAGGAAGAGGAAATGGGAAAAGGAGGATCAAAGTAAAGCCAAGAGAATATACGATTTTAGATTTTGGTAAAGGATGCATGTCCTATTGCTCTTTCCCATCCTCTTGTTTGATGGAGTAGGGAAGAGAAGGAGAAGAAGGGGAAAAGGGGAGGAAGAGAGAAAGCTATACCTGCTAGCCCAGATCGGTCCGGCAAGAAGGGAATGCGACGGGCTCAGTCAGAGGTGTCGGGGTCAGCCAAGGGGTCGTGCAGCTGCTAGGGGCGACGGGATCGTGCAGCTGCTAGGGGCGACGGGATCAGGATTCGCGAACAGGGAGGGAGTCTTCGGCTCTTTTGTGCTTCTGCTTGCTTGGAAGAGAAGCTCGGCCAGGAAGAGCAAGATCGGCAGCAAGGCTTACGTC